CAGATGCCTTTTTTTTACTACAGCTAAAAATCTACAGCTTTGCTGCATTTACGTCTTTTTTCTGATTGGTTACTTTTGAGCAGCCAGGTCCCGCCCCTCAAGTATCTCTCTGCCTGTGAGTAACCAGACTCTTTCTCTGTGCAGAATTAAACAGAGGACCAGTATGGCAGGCCAGGCTATAACAGTTTGGTTGTGAAGCTCCAACTTTTCATTTAAAAGATTTGCTGTAGACCAGAAGTGGGCGTGGCCATCAATGAAAATAAATGCATGTTCTTATTGGTTGTTATAAGCTGGATAAAGACCAAAGTGCCAATCAGTTTGGAGCATTGCAATGAAATTCGACTGGCGGATCCATTAGCTTGTTTAAATCTTATTGGCTCTTAAAGGAAAGGGGTGGGATTTCTCCTGCTGAGGATTCTTCTAATATCTTAGGCCCCGCCCACATGGTTCAGGTCAGAAGAAATACTTTTGGGTTTAATGTTTGAACTTCAAAATAAAATCAATCAACTCCTCAAGTAAACATTTCTAACAGTCAAAAACCGTTAAACTAGATTGCATTTATAACTGAAGCGCCGTACTTTGAAAAGAGACAATAGTAGAATAATAGATTTTAGGTCAGAAAACCTTTAAATCTTTTCACAATAAAGTGAAACGGTTAGAAAAATAAGCAGAAACTATAACAATCATAAAATGGTCATCAGTCTAATAAAACAAAAAACAAACAAAAAAAAAACTTTCAGTAGTCACGTGACTCAGTAAGCTTTAGGCTGAGAATAGACTTGCTTTAAAGGTGCAATATGTAAGAATTATAACTCGGACAGTAACAATGAGACAGATCTCCTTCTAAGCCAGCTGGAGGATGCCAGGATTCCCTGTTTTTTCTCAACCTAGAATTAGAACTTAATCAGAAGCAGCCATATAAAATGTAAACAAACAAGGGATCAAACTACCAGCCTTTGAAAAAAAAACACAAATGGTTTGGTGGTAGGAATCCCAGCTGCACATCTGAACACCCTCCATACCGGAGGTATACATGTTCGTTGGGTATTACATCAACACTTTTCGTAGATTGTTACAGCATGGAGGTTATTAACACAAATCCTCCTCCTCCAGCCATCTATCTCCATCCATCGGCAGCATTTAATTTAAAATCTCTGCTTTCTTTCCACCCCGAAAGAGATAATGAAGATTAGTGATGGCGTGACATTTGGAAAGAGACGTATCTTTAATGTGTGGATGGAGCATGCCTCGTTTTTGTCTACTTATGGTGAGATGTTAAGATTAGTGGAGATGATTGAGGGAAGGAGGCTCAGCGGAAAGGTCATGTTAATGTTCATCTCTGTGTTGACAGCAAAGACAAAGCCTGGAACGTGCTGATGACACGTGAGACCGCCGCCTGCAGTCGCTGTTAAATGCAGCAGAGACATTCTCATAAAGCATTAGGGTAAAATTATCTAACGTCTCCGACTTTAGCAGAAGCAACTCAGTTATGTTCAAGTAAAATAATCTGGTTACTACAGAACTGATGTCCAAGTACTTCTACTAGTTTTTAAATCACTCAACGGCATGAATAGTTTGTCATAATGGAGAACAGGTTCAATGGGTGAGTGACTGTGCTGTGAAGTGCCTTGGGGGGCCTGTAGAACCCTAGAAGGCCATTTACCATATTTAGCTATCTTATACAACAAATTTCAGTCAGTTTTAAATAATTTCAACTATTTTCTTAAATCAATCACTACACATTTGACAAGGATTTCAAGCACCATAAAAAGGCTGAGTGACAGGCAAAAGCAAAAAGTTACGAGTAGTAAAAATAAAAATGTCGGAGGAATGGATGGAAGAAAAGCTACTGCAGGATGGAGTCAGTCACATATAAAAGAGGCCATTCTCCATCCAGCGGTTAGAACTGAGAAGTTCTGTTGTTTACAGACAAATCAGAGACATTTTCATCTCTCATTGCAAAAAGTCAACTTCTCCTTTGTTCTGGAGCCAGTGACATTTTCTGTGTTGATGTAAACGGGATTACAAATGAAGAGAAAATGTCAGAAAACGGTCAGTCAGACAAAAGAGACAAATAAGCACCGAGCAGCATATTCACAGAGAAATGCCTCGCAAAAAAACTCCTAACAATATAACGATAATAACAAAGCAACATCAAACAAACATCACCAAAAACAAAAGCAACAGCCACCACGGCAGCTCGAGTCCAAACCCGCTTTAATGTGAAGCCCAGACATGTTTTTAAAGGAGAATCCATGCAAATCCCACAGGAGGAGAAACCAAACAGCTGTTGTTCACCTGCGATCTTGGTGGTGATCCGGGTGGTGACCGGGGGACCAAAGCCCTTGTTGGTGGAGGCTTTCAGGGTGAAGAAGTAGTTGGTTCCAGGGTAGAGGCCCACGAACAGATGATGGGTCTCATTCTGGAGCTTGAATACTCGTCCCTTCTGGGTGGTCAGGTCAGCGCTGGGGTCCAGTGAGCTCAGAGCCTTGTAGGTGATCTGAAGATGGACAGGAAGTGGTGTTTAAGCATGGAGAGAATGACTTCCTGTTTGGATTCAGCCAGCAGTCCGCCACTACATGGGAGTGGATGACGATGGCATTATACCAGTTTTCTTCTTTCTTGTCAGCTAAATGTGAATTTTGGCAGATTAATACTTTTGAGATTATTCTCTAATCTGTCTTTGCTGAAATGGAGAAAAGCAACATCCAGGATGTAAAACATAATCAGCAAAGAAGTTTTTACCCAGAATAACAAATCTTTTAAACTCAACCTTCATCCGTGGCCTCCCCCTGCTGGTGTGGGGTTCCAAGCAGCTGCTTGATTGGCTGAAGAACAAATTCAAAATCTGACTAAATCTGTCAACTGTGATCAGTCAGTTCCACCTCCCAATACAAGTCTTCAGACGTTAAATAACTAAAAAGGTTGATAAATATTTATGCCTACTGACATCTAAAATATCCAGTTCAAATAATCGCTGAAGGTTAAAGAGGTGATTAGTTTACGCTGTGTAAAACACACTAAATCAGAAAAGATTTTAAATATTTTTCATGTCTGACCCGATCAGACCCTGATGGTTCAATGCCCACGCCCTAGAGCCAAAACAGAGCTCAGTGGATCCATCAGGAGTTAATAGATTGTGTTAAACGTTGTGCTGATCGATGTTAAAGTGTTTTGTGCTTCCAGCAGGTCGGAACGTCTCTGCGTGACGTCCACTCAGACCAGGCTGATCCGAACAAACGGACACGCTCACCAAACCGGCAGAAACACTTCAATAGTTCTGCTTATAAAAAGAACCGTCAACGTCTGTCGCCGCGTTGCTGTGGGCAAGATCTACACTTCACAAAACATCAATGACACATGCAAACACACACACACACACACACACACACACACACACACACACACACACACACACACACACACGGTTAAACACTAGTGGACAGCTGTCAGCGGCAGCCAGCAACAGCAGAGTTGACTGACGGGTAAAACACAGTAAACATTCTAAGATGTCGGTAAATTTGGACCTCAGTTTGACTTTTAGAACCAGAACTGGTTTCAATAAATTGTTCACAACAACATGTTTTCTAGCTTTAACTCTCACTTCAGGCCATTTCTCATCCTGTTTTGGACTTTTCTGTGAGATCCATGAAGTTGGACCAATAGGAGCCAAGAAGTCCCAACCAATAACGTCCCTTTTCCACTAGATCAGAGTGCACAGCTTGGGTTTACACAGTTTAGGTGGTTTTCCATTACAACAGAGTGGGTGGGTGGTGTTTTGGGCAGTCCCCCAAGTTTGAAAAGTATGAGGTGATCTCTATGTGGCACAATAGCACAACACAACATGGTAGTAATCTGCCCTCTTAGTTTTAGACAAAAAGTTTGGTTTTAGTTTCATAGTTTCTTTCTTACTTTACTGATAATGACTTAACTGTATACAATGGATTTATTCATGCAGCTTCGTGCATCAGTCAGTAGATTCTCACAAAAGAAAATTTTGAATTATTTCCCTATCAGCACGGACACTTAGAGAGCATGCAGAGTATTCTACAGAACATTTAGAAATAAAGAAGAATAGAAATAAAACATATTGTTTAATTAATTTATTATGAGTTCTCAGATCTCCAACTTAGGGTCTAGACATATATAATGCTGAAAAAACGTATTTATTAAATCACCTGGTGAAAAGTCAAAATATTCTGTGGGTCTAGGCACTGACTGGATGAAGGATTAAAGTCTATTACTTTTTAGAGCAGAATTGTTTATTCTGGGCCCTCAAGGGCCACCATCCTGAACTTTTTCAGTTTCCTGCACCAACACACCTGGCTCTCGAGGAGCAGGATAGAGTGCACCTGGTTAAGAGTCCGTCTAATTCAAGATGGTTGCCACAATTATCTAATTTCAAAAAGCATAAAAACAGAAGAAACTTTTTCAAGTGTGTAGATATTTAGTTAAAGGTGCAGTATGTAAGAATATAGAGAGACTTTTACAGTAAGAAAACCCCAAAAGAGTCGAATGTTTCAGTCATTTAGGAAGGAAGGTTATACTGAAACATATTTCATATCCAGCTGGCTGCTGGGTTGTCAGTTTTTCTCCTTTCAAAACAAAGGAAGGAGGGGCATAGCTACTGTTTACCATCAGTGAGTGTGGGGGTGCCGTGTGTCCTGCGAGCTAATGCTGCAGCGCCGACATTTGTCATCTGATGATAGCCGGCAGAAAAGCCTCAGAGTTGTTTAAAATGGTTGCAGTAACCAAATTTTACCACAGGATGTCATTTTTAATTCATTTCCACACAATGCACCTTTAAATGTTCTAATAACCGTGAGTTGTTCACATCCCATAATCTGAGCTGTAACAGATCACGTGATCAGATTTCATGCTTTGACCAAAATGGTTACTACTCTATAAGCATAGGATGATTTTAGTTTGAAACTAATTAAAAAATAGCTATTCCAAGTTCATGCAAACCCAGGAAATAGACACGGCCGATCCTTGGCAACAAGGTCAAGATAAATTGACAACATTTCCTTTTATAGCCAAAGTTACAAAATGTATTACATTTCCTCTTTACATTTATTTATTCTTTCTATCATTATAGTTCACTGTAGTTACAATCAAAATCAAGCAGATTAAAGGTTAAAAAGTTACTAGTTTGGTTAAAATCATACATTCAGACGTCCAAATGGTGCTTTTAAAATGAACTGGCATGAATGTATTAATGTAGGAGTGACGAGATGAAGATAATTCAGTGTAAATGACCCAAAATACCATCAGACGCCTGGTAAAAAAGTATAAAATACTTAAATAAAAACCCTACAAAGAAAAGTGGAGCCCAAAAACCAAGAGAGAAGAAAGGTTCAGAGCAGAAACAACACAAAAGAGTAAAATGGAAAGTGCTAACAGGTGATGAAGATGGATGTTTGCATGGAAGCGGTAGCTGGGAGGCTGAGTGTGTGTGTGTGTCTGTGTCTCTGTGTGTGTGTCTGTGTCTCTGTGTCTGTCTCTGTGTGTGTGTGTGTCTGTGTCTCTGTGTCTGTCTGTGTGTGTGTGTGTGTCTGTGTGTGTGTGTGTGTGTGTGTGTGTGTGCGTGCGTGCGTGCGTGCGTGTGTGTGTGTGTGTCTGTGATGAAGCAGGAGGACCGTCTCAGCTCTTCACACTCTGGGATGTCACGCAGCCCCTCGTTGCTCCGTTAACAGACTCAAATCAAATGCACTGACAGCTGGCTTCTCCTCGGCCTGCAGGCTGGAACGCTGATGTGTGAACGTGTGACTGTTTCCAGGATGTGAGACTGAACAGAGGAGAATGTTTCATAATTTTGCTGCAGTAAAGAGCGCCGTAACTTAGTAAAGTCTTAAAACATGCTACATGTTGTTTGCTTTAAGTTATCAGAGTGGTGGTGTTCTATCCTGTTCCTCCTGGGCCACCATCCTGCACATCTTAGAGGCTTCTCTGCTTCAACACACCTGCCTGATGAAAAAGTCAAGATTCGGTCAGATGTGTTGGGACAAAAACATGCTGGACTGCGTTTCCTGGAACCAGCATTGGACACCACTGAGTCTAAATCCATGAGATGAGCTCTGATAAAACATCCTCCTAATGCTGAGTTTTAGATCCAAACTGGCTAATCGAACCATTAAGTTTCATTATGAGCATAAAGACCAATCGTCCTGCTTTCTCTTTAAATGGCTTTGGCCCAGAATCTAAAAATATCATAAATGTCTATCTTCAATAACTTAATGAGCATTATTAAGGCCAATTACCTCTAGATGATTACATCTAAAACTTCTGGGTGTTCTCATCTTCACAGGTAAACTTAGATCAATGATCTCATAGAGCTGCACGGCAGAGCACCATGGCCTAGCAGCAAGAAGGTTACCGGTTCAAATCCCAGATGCGACATTTCTGTGTGGCATTAGCATTCCTCGCTAATGCATGTGAGGAGTTAGCGTGTTCCCCCGTGCACTTGTGAAGTTAGTATGTTCTCGTGCACGTGTGGAGTTAGTATGTTCTCGTGCACGTGTGAAGTTAGTATGTTGTTGTGCACGTGTGGAGTTAGTATGTTCTCGTGCACGTGTGGAGTTAGTATGTTGTCGTGCACGTGTGGAGTTAGTATGTTCTCGTGCACGTGTGAAGTTAGTATGTTGTCGTGCACGTGTGGAGTTAGTATGTTCTCGTGCACTTGTGAAGTTAGTATTTTCTCGTGCACATGTGGAGTTAGTATGCTCTCGTGCACGTGTGGAGTTAGTATGTTCTCGTGCACGTGTGGAGTTGGTATGTTCCCCTCGTGCATGTGTGGAGTTAGTATGTTCTCGTGCACGTGTGGAGTTAGTATGTTCTTGTGCATGTGTGGAGTTAGTATGTTCTCGTGCACGTGTGGAGTTGGTATGTTCTCATGCATGTGAGAAGTCAGCGTGTTCCCCCAGGCATGTGTGGAGTTGGCATGTTCTCCTCGTGCACATGTGGGGTTAGCATGTTCCCCTCGTGCACGTGTGGAGTTAGTATGCCTCATGCACGTATAGAGTTAGTATGTTCTCATGAATGTGTGGAGTAAGTATGTTCTCGTGCACGTGTGGAGTTAGTATGCCTCATGCACGTATAGAGTTAGTATGTTCTCATGAATGTGTGGAGTAAGTATGTTCTCGTGCACGTGTGGAGTTAGTATGTTCTCGTGCACGTGTGGAGTTAGTATGTTCACGTGTGGAGTTAGTACGTTCTCGTGCACGTGTGGAGTTAGTATGTTCTCATGCACGTGTGGAGTTAGTATGTTTTCGTGCACGTGTGGAGTTAGTATGTTTTCGTGCATGTGTGGAGTTAGCACAAGTAGGATTTTGAATATTTAATAATAAGCTTTTAAATGCAAACAACCCTATTTCTCTCTAAGCTTTAACTTAAAAAAATTGGACTAAAATCAACCAACAAAAGCTGCATCAGGTGAGTTTTGACCACATATTTATTTCTGCAACAGCCTTTGATCATTTTTAACGAGTTCTCATCAACAAT